TTGCCATTTGGCACCCTTATTAGAGGCCCAGAAGTGAAGAGTTTGCCTGATTTTGAGTCGGAAACTCCAGAACTGTGAAATGAAGTAAATCTTTGCACTTGATAAGTTAATGTTATGGTTTGGATCTGTAATGTTCTCCCAAGGCTCGTGTATTGAAGGCTTGGTCCCTGGTGCAGCATTGTCCAGAGGTGGGGCTTTTGGGAAGTGATTCGATTGTGAGGCCTCTGACCTCATCAGTGGATTAATCATTGGTAACTGCATGGACTACGTAAGGTGGTGGAAACTGGGCACATGGAACATGATTGGACCAAGAGGTCACTGGGGTCTGTGTCCTCTACCACTATATCATGTCCCTGCTGCCCCTCCCCACTTCCCTTCTTCCCTGCTGTTGTGAGCTGAGCAGCTTTCCTCTGCCACACCCTTCTGCTGTGATGTTCTGCCTCACTTCAGAGTAATAGATCCAGCCAACTGTGGACGAAAACCCCCGAAACCATGACAAAACGATGACTAACATAGTTAATTAACACAAGTACTTTATTATAGTGACAGAAAGCTAACACAAGAAACTAAATGCGATTAACTAACTTGCTGAGAGACGCAACTGTACATGGTGGAGTTACGAATGCGCCTTGAGATTTGACTACAGTCTATGTCTTAACACAGTTTTTTCCTTTTTTTTTTTTTTTTTTTTGTACCAGGAATTGAACCCAGGGGCACTTAACCACTGAGTTATGCCCCCAGAACTTTTTTAGTTTGAGACAGGTTCTCACTGTTACTTAGGGCCTTGCTACGTTGCTGAGGCTTGCCTGGGACTTGTGATCTTCCTGCCTCAGACTCCCAAGTTGCTGAGATTATAGGCATGTGCTACCACTCTTGCTCTGTATTCTTAACATCATCAGAATCTAGCATACAGAATAACACTTGGTAAACACATTATTTATATTTGCTGAATTGAATGTATTAGGTCAGAATTCATTTATGTAGTATTTACTTATTTAATTTGTATTACTTTGTACTATAAATGAAGACTAGCTTTCTTCATTGCTTGACTCATAGTTTGTTAAATGTGGTTAACAATTGAGAATTTTAAGTTGAAGATAAAGTATTTTCTTTGATATTTTATAAAATGAATTCTACTTTTACAAACTCATATAGTCCCTAATATCCCAAAATTTATTATAAAAATGAAATATTACTTATTAAAGTTATGATAAAAATGTTCTGAAGGATGCTTTTTTCCTTACAGTCTGGATTGCCTGAATCTTATACAAGTATGACTCTGGGACCATTTAAACTATAACAAGCATGGCTATTCATCGTTCCACCAGTGGTTCTCAACCTTGTCTGCATGTTAGAATCACTGGGGAAACTTTTAAAAGTCCCAGTGCCAAAGGCTGCTCTGAACTAAGATCAATTGAAAAGGAATGTCTGTGTAGAATATATATTAGTGTTATTTGAGTTATTCCTGTGTGATTTTTATTTTAGAGAAAGATGTGCTGATAGTATTTCAGTGGGTTTTTTAAAAATTATATTCATAGTTGAAGGAAAGGGTGAATTTTACTAAAAAGTTGGAGAATATATTTTTTAATCCTTTTAAGATTGTCTGATTAAGAATGCCTGTCATAGACATTTCATTTTAAAGATTATAATTTACTTATAATCTTTTTTCCTAGGAAGACATGATTGCAAGTTTACTATTTAACCCTAATATATTTAAAAAGTTAATTATATAGACTTAAAAATTTATTTTAAAAGGCTAATTATTAAACCTTTTCAGTTATAATAAATAACTCATGCATAATTGATATAATTTAATATTTTAAAGATTCATTTCCCTTTTAATATTGTATTATAAATGTTCAAACACACAGAAACCTTGAAAAAGTTTATGATGAATACCCATATATCCACTATTTAGATTCTACACTTAACATTTACTGTACTTACTTTATTATATATCTTTACATTTATTCATCACTCTATCCATCCATGAAGCCATCTGATTTTTAGTGCCTTGCAAAATAATTTGCTAGTATTAGAACACTTTTTCTAAAATACATCAGCATGCAACCTTTTACTTTGTACAATTTGAAAACAATGAAATGCACAAATCTGAAGTATACTATCAACCCAGTAAGTGGACACACCTGTGCAGTCCATATTCAAAATGCAGTAGTTCCATCCCAGGGTCCTATCTCTTCTAGTAAATCACCATTATTTTGATATTTTTCCGATAGCTATTATGCCTGTTCCAAACTTCATATAAACAGTAGCAGATAGTATATATTCTTCGTATGTAGGCTTATTTCACCCAGCATAGTTTTGAAATTTATCCATGTTATGACATATTTTAATAATTTTCTCTTTTTATTCCTGAGTGGTACTCTGTCACTTGAATTTACTGGGATTTATTTATCCTTTTTTTTTCTATTGATGGGCATCTGGATTATTTCTAGTTTTGGGTTGTTGAGAATAAAGCTTTAGTAAGGGTTCTTGGGAACATAGCTGCAAAGAGCTTTCTGGGGGAAGTCTTGTCATAGACATATCTTTTCATTGCTCTTAGACTTGTTAGGTAACAGGATATGGATATGTTCAGTTTTTAAAGACATGCAGTTGCCAGATCTTTCCAAAAGCAGTCGGTGCTATTTTACATGCCCACCAGGAGTATGAGAGCTCAGGTTGCTTTACATAGCTGCGTTTTTTGTTTTGTTTCATCTTAATGTTATCTCACAATTTTTGTTCTCACCCTCTCACCCGTTTCGGAACATTTTCTTTGATCCATTTTTCATTTTATTTTTCAGATGGCAAACTGGCCAAAACAGTAAATCTTAAAACAGCATAGTAGTTTTGGTGAGATATGAAACTGCTTGTATTACAAAATGAGTTGCCTTTTTTTTTTTATTTTGAAAAAAATAGTTTAGATAATTTCCCTGTAAAATACTTATTGAAATAAAACTAACTTTAATTTTACTTACATTATTCCTTATCATTTATGGTATGTGTGTGTGTTTATGAAATCTGATAATGGTTTTTAGGATTTAAAATGCACTTTTTCTGGGACTGGGTTGTGGCTCAAGCGGTAGCGCGCTGGCCTGGCATGCGTGCCGCCCGGGTTCGATCCTCAGCACCACATACCAACAAAGATGTTGTGTCTGCCGAGAACTAAAATAAATAAATAAATTCTCTCTCTCTCTCTCTCTCTCTCTCTCTCCTTCTCCTCTCTCTAAAAAAAAAAATAAAATAAAAATAAAATGCACTTTTTCTATAAATACCAAGTTATCTCTAGTTTGAGGATTGTTTCCCTTTTTTATGATGTTATTTTCTCGCGCGTGCTTTTTTTTTTTCTTCCTGTTATTGGCTCATTTCTTATTTTGAAATATCTTATTTTCTGTTCAAAATGCGGTTAGAGGGGCTGGGGTTGTGGCTTAGTGGTAGGGCACTTGCTTAGCATGTGTAAGGCACTGGGTTTGATCTCCAGCACCACATAAAAAACTAAGTAAACAAAGGTATTGTGTCTATCTACAACTAAAAATATTTTTTTAAAACTACAGTTAGAATTTTATTTGTAGCTGCATGTAAGAGAAATGGACATTTGGAAATACTTTCAAATAAAATATTATGAATACATTTTATGGGGAGAATGAGAAAGGAAAAGACTGCTATACTTATTTAAAAGCTAGTTACTTGGGAAGTTAGTTTTCTGATTGCTGGATTCTTTCTTCCAAATCTGTAGGTATGATAGACCAGAAAAGACATTCTACCCTTAGTGTCTTAAAAAGTTATTTTCAGACATTAAGCTCTAGTTCCTACTCTTACTTTTTTTCTTTTGTGTGAAAGAGTTGAACTCAGCTTGATGAAACTGAGCCATGAATTCATCTAACTATAAACACTGATAGAAGTGATGACATGGAATTCGTTTTCCTTAAGCACCAGGAGTAAGATACATGTGTAAGGAGTGGCTACTTTCTTTATCTTACACAGGTTATGTCTTATTCTTGCATTGTTGGCTTATGTCACATTGGCCTAGTACATTTATACTATTTTAATTATGTTTTGCTTATTTGAAAGAGTAACTGCACCCTTTCTTTTCAAATCATTTTACTTTTTATATAAAAAATGCTTAGAAAATAGTTGTGTCTTTTAAACATATCACATTATTTTATAAGTGACTTTGACTTTATTTAAAGGCTGGGCATGGTGGCGCACACCTGTTATCCTAGTGACTCAAGAGACCTAGACAGGAGAATTGTAAGTTCAAGGCCAGCTTCACCAAATTTGGTGAAACCCTATTTCAAATAAAAAGGAGCAAGGATATAGCTTAGTGGTAAAGTGACCCTGAGCACAATCCATAATACTACCAAAGGAGTGGGAGGGGGGAGTAAAAATAAAAACTTTTAAAAAATTGGTGGTGGCTTTTACTGAAAATTTATTTAGGCTAACTCCCACAAAGGATTAATATCTTAAACACAAAACTCAGATGAACTAAAAGTTAAATCATGGTTATCTGAATTATTGAAAAATATGTTAAACCTTTTTTGTATATTTTGCCTAATTAGAACTGCAAAGGTATTTCTTAATGATAAAGTTTGATAGTTTTATAATAAAATGACAATACTGTACTGGACTTCATTTTGTAGCACAAATATTTTCATATCGACATATAGACACTATGCTCAATACATTAGATATATAGTATACATTAATAAAGTTGTTCATATGTTAGTAATTACTATGCTATATATATAATATGTCATAAAAATATGGGTTTAAAAAATTTATTTCTCTATAAAGGATGTAATCTATTGACAGAAAAAGAATCCTGTTAATGCTAGTGGAGATAAAGAGATGTAATGCAGGGAGAGTTGTTTTGTTTGTTGGAGTCCACCTTCTAGCTGAAATGAAACAGAGCTTAAAATTTCTAAATTGAGGTATTTTGAGGGAAAGATTATTTCCTATTGGTAGAGTGCCATATAACTTATTCAGCTTTCATCTTTACACAGGGCTCCTTAATAAGCATTCATAGTCAGTTTTTGGCAGCATTAGAATCACTGAAGGCATTCTGGGATGTTATGGATGAAATTGATGAGAAGACCTGGGTACTTGAGCCAGAAAAACCTACCCGGAGTGCAACAGCACGCAGAATTGCATTAGGTAGGGAAAAAGATGATTAGGTTTTATTTTCAGGTGTTTAAAATTATATTTATTGGAACTTTTTTGTAACAGAATTGACCAGAATCCCAACTTACATTAGAAATTGCCTGTTTTTTTTTTTATAAACTTGAGATCCATGAATCTTTACTGATGATCATGATTTCAAAATTACCTTTTAATAAAACATTTCGTTAATCTTTACTTGAGTGGGTATACAGTAAAATTGGCAGTCAGACTGACATGTCTTTGTTGGCTTGATGAACTGTTACACTTGTGAAAACTTTAATCTTCTTTTGTTCTAGGAAATAATGCTTCCATAAATATAGAAGTGGACCCCAGGCATCCTACTATGCTTCCTGAATGCTGCTTTCTTGGAGCCGACCATGGTATCAGAACTCAGAAATATTTTTAACAGAAACATAAAGTTCTTGGCTACCACTGTTAAATATAATTCTGAATTAGAAATAGTAATTCCTGGGGCTGGGGATGTGGCTCAAGCGGTAGCGCGCTGGCCTGGCATGCATGCGGCCCGGGTTCGATCCCCAGCACCACATACAAACAAAGATATTGTGTCCGCCAATAACTAAAAAATAAATATTAAAAAAAAAAGAAATAGTAATTACTTTAAATGAAAATTTCTCATTGTGAATTATATACTTTTAATTAACACAATGCGTTATGATTTAGGTTTTCAAGTCAAATAATTCAGAAGTTTACTTTCTGTATCAAATGTGGCTGTATAAAATGAGAGAAAACCCTAAATTATTTAACTTTTTTTGTTGTTTTAATATCTGAAGTGGTAAAACCCCTGGGAATTAAGCTGAGCAGGAACATACATTTGTGGTAAGTATCTTGGCAATATATTAATTTGTCTATGATTTCACAAATTTTATAGCAAATATATGACTGTGTATGTATGTATATGTTTTTTTTTTCATGCTTTTAGGGATCCAGAAAACAGTCTATTACAAAATTTGAAAGATGTTTTAGAAATTGATTTTCCAGCTCGTGGTATCCTGGAAAAATCTGTAAGTTTTATCAGTGCTTTGATATTCCACATTGTGTTGCATAATTAAATTTAAATGCTTCTCTCAGAAAAATGAGGCTAAAAGGGAGGGAATTAGAATAATGTTCTAACACAGACCTCTGAACTACAAATTTTTATATCAGAGAACTTGTTAACCTTTGGTGGTTTTAAATGTACTTTTTTTCATGGTCTTCAGCAGCAGAGTGATTGACAGACGTTTATCATTAGAAATTAAGGGAAAAGTCCAAAATAGCTAATGAGATGTTTGGATCTTCTATATTATCTACTTATGGATAACTGAAGTATAGTTTCAGTTAACTTGATGTGTTTTTGAAGAATGACAGTATTTTTTTTAAATGAAACTACTATTGCAAAGATAAAGAATGGATGTTCACATAGCTACTAAGGTTGTAGAATACTAAGTGGTGGTGATGTTTTTCTTCTTCTTGTAGTTATATAAATTTTTGAAGCTTAGTTAGTAATTACTAGATCATGTCAGTTCCCTTCTTTACATACTATATAGATATATTCATGCATATGGATGAAATCCCTAAAGCCCCAAAATGAAATTTGGTACATCTGTGTATATTTGAATGAAAAAGGAAATACTATATAATAAGTACCTTTGCTAGGTGTTTAATATGGCAAGTTACTTTTATAAAAATGATATAAAATTTAATATTGTGTATGTACTGTTTTTCCCTAATCTTACATTATGCATTTTGAAGAAATATGCATATAAATATTTTTCTTTTGAAGGATTTTACTATGGATTGTGGAATTTGTTATGCCTATAAACTTGATGGTACCATTCCTGATCAAGTGTGTGGTAATCCCCAGTGTGGACAGCCTTTTCATCAAATATGCTTATATGAGGTAAAACTAAAAAATAATGGCAAGACTTTTTCCCAGCTAATACAGCATAGAAAATATGCATATTTGAAATACATGAACAAATTTGTTTATTCAGTTGTGATCCCCTTTTGCCTTAATTTCTTTTACCAGTTTATTCAGCTGCTTGTGTATTTTCATTTCCTTATCATAATTACTAGTAAATGAAGAGATGCTTAAAGTATCCAAGGAGGGAGAAAAATCTATCCAGAATATATTTGCAGACTGTTTTTTGCATAACAGATTAAGTTGGTGGTACAATATCCCAGTGCAAGCTCCGTAGATTCATTCTGGTGGCAGCACTGAGGTGAGGGAATTAACATACGGTACAGTACCTTATTTTTCAGGCTGAATTTAACCATAGAAGAAATGCAACAATCACACTTTTCTGGTTAAAGATAGCATTCGGAACTATATACACCATACCAATAGACTTCAGATACAAACATCAATTTATATTACATAAATATCAGGTCTGATTATAGAACGCTAAGGGAACATGTACTTTTGTAATACGAAATTTAACTTTAACAGACTATTCCACGTTGATCTCCTCTTGTTATTCAACTTAATAATACTCTGGTATTATTTGGCTCAAGAAATGTGTCTCCCCCTACCCAATCCCTAGTGGTGCTTGGAACTGAACCAAGGGCTAAAAATGTATTTCTTACTCTAATAATTAAACAATTCGTAAGGTTAACCATCTGGAATCATGCTTTTTTTTTCTCTTTTTTAAATCTCCAGTGGTTGAGAGGACTACTCACTAGTAGACAGAGTTTTAATATCATCTTTGGTGAATGTCCATACTGTAGTAAGGTAAGCAAAGTGTTTATCACAATTCATAAAATGTGCCTTTTATTAATGTTATAAAAGACACCTATAGAGAATATCAGCTTATCTGAAACTTTTTGAAACACATTCTCTATTTACCTAGTGAGAAAAGTTTTCTCTAAGAACTCCTTTTCTATATTTCCTCATTTACTTGAAACTTTAGAAAATGATGTCCCAAACTGTATAGTGATATTATTTCTAGCATAAAGAATTTTAGTGTTCACGAACTTTAAAAACACATATATATTTTTTTCAGCCAATTACCTTGAAAATGTCTGGAAGGAAACCCTGAAATAAGCATTTCTATGAAGAAGTAGAAACTTTATTAAAAGGATTTTATTTGATATCTTCAGAGAATACATAAAGCAAGACATACTAATATCAAAAGGAAAACTATGATGAAGCCATAATAATATACATCTGCCTTTGCCTCTTCACTAAGAGTAAACTGGGAAATTGTAGGCCAGAGTCCTGTAGAACTTTCTAAGTCTGTGACCCCTGTACCAATTGGGGAAGTATGTGTGTACCAAGGAGGAGACCTTGACTTGCTGATTACATCTGAATTGGTAAAATCTTGATAGGGCTCATAAAATGAATTTGAGAACTGCACATAGCTAGATTTTGGGGGAAAACTGTTTATTTCATTCAGAAGTTCTGAAGACTCACAATATTTTTGTCTTCTCTTTCTGCCTTCCTATGGAAAAAAATACATATATAGTTTGTTAGATTTTTTTGTCTTTTGAATATTCTGTATGAATGCTAAATAAAATTTAATCAAATCAGAGTCATTGGATGGTTCTTTTTAAAACAAATAGACCATTTCATTAAATAGTGTACAATTAAAAACAAAATATGAAAAAAACAATTCTCTGGGCAAGATGGTCAAGCTTTTGGCCACTAGTCTCAACCTTGCATATCTTGGCAAGTCAAACGATCCCTGCTTTATTTACTGAGTAAAGGATGAGGCTGTATACACACCAGGAAAAATTCACAGTGGATGATGTGTCACAATTGTTGCAAAGTTGTGAAGCCCAAACAGGACAGACTGAATAGATACTAAGTTAACTGGTTAGTTAAATACACATTTCAGAAGTTGCTTCAATGTTTTCACCATCCTCCATGTGGATCAGAGCCTCAGGAATCAGTTTTTTCCTCACTACTTAAGTGGCTGAAAGTCAGGAGTTGTTCTGTTTCTTCTTCACTTTGGTAATCCTTGGATTGCCCTCTCCTTATTCAGTTTATTAAACAAAGCAGAAACACCTTAGTCTTCTTGTTATTTTCATTCAGAAACATCTGCAACACCGTCATTCTTCAGTATAAGCTCAATTTCTAAATTGTCACCCTTTAAAAATTCTCCCCCACCCCAAAAAAGTCACTTTCAGGATCGAGTTTTAGAAGGTAAAAAAGGATTTCTATATAATTCACAAGAAACAAAGTAGAGATGTTTTGAAAAGACTCTTTAGCTTTCCTATTAAAAATAAACTAGTTGAGAAATAAAGCTAACAAAGTTACACTAATGCAGTTTTCCTAAGTCTTGTTGACTTCATTCACTAGAGGTAAGATAAATAAGTAGTATTCTAGTACATTGTAAATCATTCTCAAAGAACTGTGCCTTCAAATCATAATTCTAAGGGCTGAGAATCACTGATTAGTTAAGCAGCATTTATATATAATTTACATGTGAAAGAAATATTTCCATATAGTTAGAAATCAAGCTACTAAAATTTTAAGAACCATCTATTGTGTAAACTATACTGCTCATTTTCTCATTCAGCACCAACAATTGACATCAAATGGGAAAGTACTCTTAAGAGTATTTGGTATCTGAGGTCTGACTGGGAAAGATAGTTTATAATAGAACTTGGCAATAATTGCCATCTGAATTTTTTAAATAGGTTTACTGGAACACAACTTTGTCCATTTTTTAAGATATTACTTATGGCTGCTTTTGCACATACAGTTGAATAGTTCAAGACAAAAACATTTAATAATTTCTAGAAACATTTTGGGTTGCCACAACAGGGAGGGGATACTTTTGACATCTGAGAAATACTAGGAATGTTGCTAAACATCCTACAACATAAAGAACAGCCACCCCACAAAAAATAATCCAGTCCCAAAAGTCAATGATGCTGTCAAGAAAGCCTTCATTACAGCAGTTATTAGGCTTGAATGCACATTAAAAACAATTGAAAAATAAGAGCTTGGAAAATATAAATGCCACTTCTCTGGCCATGAGTAATGGGTATCAGGCTCTTCTGCCATCAAAACCCATGATAAAAAATGATAAAGTCAGAAGAAAAATATAAAGCCATTAGGAGGCATCTAAAACTAATAAGGAACAGAAAATCCAGACTTCAAAAAGTCCACAATTTAAGTTACACTTACTCTAGATCAGGCCACAAAAGCCTAAAGCAAAGTTATGACAAGATCAAGTTGAACGATCAGTACATTAACTGCTAGAACAAGCCCAAAACTCTTTAAAGGAATGCTGTAAATTCTGACCATAGCATCCACAGTGCTCAGTATACAAAAATACTTCACTACATATAGGATGTATGAAAATGTAAACCATAACCAGGCAAGAAAAGAACTCAGATGTCTCAGTTCAGACAACTATCAAACAAAGACTGCATAACAGCTACATAAATATGTTCAAGGACATCAAGGAAAAATTTAACATGGTGGACAGGTAAACATTAGCAAAAATATGAAAAATGTAGAAAAGGAAAAACGCCCTAGATTTAATAGCTGATTTTACAGTTAAGTATAGAAGTCAGGCAAAAGAAAACATCCAAAGAAGATAAAATGTTTAAAATATAAAGTGTCTCAATTTTATGTGAAAAAGGTGAAGTATTCTAATATACATGTCTTTGGATCATGGAGGAGGAGGAGTTAAGGCATGAAACAAACTGATGTCATAGATGAACACTTTTCTAATTTCATGACTGACACCAATCCATAGATAAAAGCTCAATAAACCCCAAACACAACAAAGATCACCATGCCTAGGAAAGTCAAAGATTAAAAGGAGATCTTCAAAGCAGCCAGAGATATTTTTTAGCTTTTTGTCACTGTGACAAAATATCTGAGAATCAAAAGATAGAAGGCTTTATTTTAGGTCATGGTTTAAAGATTTCTGTTTATGGCCACTTGGCCCTATTGCCATTGGGTCTGTGGCAAGATAGTACATTATATTAGGAATGCATAATGAAGGAAGCTACTCACCAGAGTGGCCAGAAAGTGAGAGGAAGGGGCAGAAGTCCCAATATCCCCTCTCAGGGGGATGCTCTAAGTAACCAAACTTTCCCACTAGGCCTTAGCTCTTAAAGGTTCTACCACCTCTTAACAGCATCATGGCCTAGGGACCAAACCTTCAACATATGAGTCTTGGGGGAATGCCAAGATCTAAAATACAGCAGTCTACCTCTGCCCCTGAATATTCATGTCTATCTCACAATTAAAAATGCATTTAATCCATATCCAAGTGTCTACAAAATTTTAAAAGTTCCAGCATTTCTCAATTGTCCAATTCCAAAAATCTCAAAAGAGTCAAAGCATATTTATCTGTGAGCCCCTGTAAAATATAAAAAAGTCACCCATTGCACAAGATAAAGATTATCATTCCATAAGTTTGGAATAGGAAAATCATGAGGAACACTATGAAGTCAAGATTGAAATCCAGGATGGCAAACATTAAATCCTACAGCTCCAATTTCAGCATCTGGGGCACACAGTGGTAGAATATGGACTCCCAATGGCTTGGGTAGCCCCCCCCCCATCACATTGCTGGCTGTAGCCCACATGGCCACTGTCTTTGGCTAGCTCTGCTCACTGCTTGCAGCCCCCCTTGGCAGATATTCCACATGCTGGTCTCTCTAACTTTCTGTGGTCCTTGGTGTGGCTTTGGCTTCACTCTTATAGCTTCACACATCACCCTGACAGGAGATGCCTGCAGGGTCTCTCGCCCTGTCCCACACTGCCTGGCCTTCCAGGCTTTCCTCTGAAATCTTGGTGTAAATCCTCCATGATACCCGACTAATGCATGCAATACCATCATCACATGGGTGATGGTGGGGTCTGCTGCTGACATGAGCTGTGCTGGATCCCACTGGAATGGCCTCTGAGTGCCTTGCTGGCTGGAATGAATCCCATGGTCCCGGATAGATGGGGTGGGGGCTATCTTCTTAACCACAAGTCTTTAAATTTACACTTTTGAATCTGAGGTCTATGCAGTGTTCTTGATTCACAAGATGCTGTCAAAGCACCTTTCCTGTTGTCCCAGTGCAAAGTACATCACTTCTTTTTAGTGAAACTAATCTTTTTAGCAGCTGCACCCTTGTTGGAAGCACTAATATGCTACCTCTCTGGTTAAACTGCAAGTTTTCCAAATTTTTCTGCTGTGCTCCTCTTTGCTCTTGATTCTCTTGGTGAATTTGGCTAAAACAATATCCATGCTGTTGCCTGAATGCTGAGCCAGAGAAACTAGTTTGTCATCTTTAAACTCAGTCTTGTACAAAGTCTCAGGGCATGGACATGATGTTTTTAAATTCTTTGGTACAGTATAAGACAGCCTGTAGTTTAATGGCTAATAGAGTCCTCATTTCCATCTGAAACCAAGCAGTCTTTGCTATCATCGTTTCTATCAGCATTCTGGTCTTCTGAGCACTCATTGATATCACCCATTAAATTTGGCTCATAGCATTCTAGAATTTCTCTAGCCCACTTTTTTCCAAACTCTTCCAGCAAACCAATAGTTAAGACTTCTCCACATCATCTGATGTATAATCACAGCAACAATGCTTCTGCTTAGTACCAATTTCCTAAGGTAGCTTTCCATCACTGTATTCTCTTCAATTTCTCTCTAATGTTTTATGGTTTTTGTTGTGCAGATCTTTCTCCCTTTTTGTTGAATTTACTCCACAGTATTTAATTTTTTGTAGCTACTGTAAATGGGATTTCTTTCTCAAATAACTGGCTATTGG